GGGAGGGAAGATTCCCAATCCCTTGAGAGTCTCATCTAATCCCAGGACACCAGGAACTGGGAACTTGAAGAGAAAGAAGAAAAACAAACAAAAAAAACCCTACCCCAAACTAACCCCAGTTGCCAGAGTTGGCAGCACCAGAAAAACATCTCTGATATTGTGGTCGGATTGATGAGCAAGAACCTTGAGGTTTTGGGATATTTGTCTTTATTTCCCCTCAGGTCTGGAGGCACCAAGGCAGGTTTTGGCCCTGGGAATTGGGGAGGGAGGTCAACTTGACCCTTGGGAACCCTAAGCAGGAGAAAGGGGAGGACTTTGGCCCCACTCAAGCATCTTCAACCCTTGGGAAGAACCTCAGCAGGAGAAGGGGGAGGACTTTTGCCCCACTCAGGCATCTTGATCCCTTGGGAAGAACCTCAGCAGGGTGGGTTTGGGAGCTGCTGATCCCAGCAGGTCCCTCAGCAGGGCAAAAATCCACCTCCCCAACCCATCCTTGCCTGGACAAGTTTGACCCATGGAGGTGAGGGGTGGACAAAGAGCTCTGTGTCTTCCCCCCCAGGTATCAGCCCTGGGAACTGCTGGGAATATTTTAGCCGAGGAGAGAAGCAGCTGAGAAAACAGCCTGATAACCACAGTCTGGGAGCTGCTCTTGGCTCTTTTAAAGTTATCTTTGAGCAGAGGTTGGGTTTCCTTCTCTCCTTCTCCTCTCAAAGGAGCTGCACAACCTGCAATTATTTATTACAGGTTGTGTAGGAAGCCCTGGTTTTTCTTCTGCCTGGTTCATGGCTACTTTCCACCCTTTTGGAGCTCCAAGGCTGTCACCCAAAGGGAGAGGTTTGTGGTGAGGAAGGTCCCCCACCTGTGATGAGGATGATGGACCACCACCACTTTCTCTACCCACTACACCAAACCTCCTCCCCCACCAGCTTTGTGTCCCCTCCATGTTCCTTCCTCACCTGAGGACATGGCTCACCCTCCAGGTCACTTCCTAGCAAATCCAGCTCTCCAGGACTCTTCCACCATCCCTGTCCCTATGTCCATAGCAGAAGCACCTTAGATCCAGCCCACCCCATCACCCCAGTGATGCTTGTGGTGCTGAGAAGCCACCAGCCAACTCTGAGGATGGTTTCATGCCTCCTGGGACTTGGAGGCAAGAAGGGAGAGGCTGGTGGTGACCATGCTTGGTCCTTTCTACCCCCCTGGGATGGTCTTCCTCAAGTTTCAAGGCCTCTAATGGAGAAATTGCCAGTGTACCTCTGAACAGGATGAATTTCTAGTTATTTCAATAACTCCTGTATTTTTTCCCTATTTTGGGGGGGTTGGTTGGTTCTCATTAACATCATCATGACCATGTTCTGCTAAGGAGCAAGTTCCCAAGAAGAGAACTGAAGGGAAGACTCTTTGTACCACAAACCCCAACCCAAAGGAGAGAACACCCTCCTCTTTGCCAGCTCCCAGGGTGGGTTTGGAGCAGTTGGGATGAAGTCCCAAGTGTTTCCCAAGGCTCAGGCACATTTATATCCAGGCTGGGAGTCCATGTGCCTTTGAACAAGTCATCTTTTCCTTTTCATGTTTTGATTGTCCTACTCAAATGGCCAAGCAGGCTGGAATTATGTGGGACAAGTGGGTTCCATCATGGCTCAAGCCCAGAGATGCCATATTGGAGCAACAGCCACTCCCAAGCTCTTCAAGAAGAAGAGGAGAAGGTTACATCACACCTTCCCACCCACCTCTGCCTTCATCCCAGGTGTTCCTGGTGTGACAGCTCCATCCTCCTTGCTCCTCATGCCAACGTGGCTCCACAAAGCCATGTCCTTGGGGAACCTACCTGGCTTCCCAGCAGTCAAACCCCAGAGACCAGAGCCCATCACAGGCTCCACCAAAGAACCTCAGCATTTCCCTGAAGGGTCAAAAAAATGATGCAAGGAAACGAATCAAGTTGAGGGCTTGAGGTTTTTCCTTCCAAACCTTCAAAAATAATTTACCATGGGAGTTTAGTTTACTTCATACCCTTGGAGATGAGTGGCACACGTTTGGGGTAAGACCTCTTGACTTCCAGAGCAACCACTGGCCATTTCATTTAACTGGAAATGACCACATGGTGATAAGATGATGACATGATTAGCAGGGGGATAACGAAGCCTGGCAATGTAACTGACAGTTAAATACAGTGTCAGTTGTTCCTCAACTCCAAGGGCTGTTTCCTCAACCCTTCATCTTGGCCAAGTGCATCTTCTGGAGGAGCAGCATGTGATTTATGGAGCAAGGCAACGTTGGAGTCATTCCCTGGGGGTGGCTCCACAAAGACAAGCAGTTTTGTGTCTGCCTGGAGGTCCCAGCCATGCCCACAGAGGGGTTGCACCATGTCTGCATCTCCTCCTGCCTGCAGCTGTGGCTGATACCTGGAGGTCTCTCCCAGGGCAGCACAGCATCCTATCCTGACCCAACCTTTATGAAACCTGGTCATCACAAGGAGAAGACAGTAAAAGCAGAGAGGTGAAGGAAAAACACCACCTTGTAGCCAGCTCTGGGGTAGAAACACGGGCCCCCAGGTCCCACCTGCCATGAGGACATCTCCTCAGTTCATTCCCAGGACCTGGACATGATGCTCCCATCTGGTGGCCATGGCTCTCACAGGACACCTTTCTGCTGGGCTGCTTCTTTGCAATAGTTTTCTCTGGAGCTGATTTTCCCATCTTGTTTCCCACCCATGAAGCATCCAGCATCTTCTCCTCCATCACTGAAGCTCCCACACCTCCCCTGGACCAGGTGCCCCCCACCCATCTTATCTAAATGGGAACAGGAAGGGTGCAGCTGCATCTCCACAAGGGCTTCCTGTTGCCACCCCAGCACCCACCTGGACTCCCCAGGTCACTTTTAAATCCACTTTGACAGGAAATAAACCTCAGGAGAGTGTGTCCCCTGGGGATGGGTTGGGTGGGGAGGACCTGAGAAGTTCTGGAGGGGCCAAACACACACAGCCCTGCAGCCCAGCTGGGATGCTCTACCTCCAATGACACACCAGAAAGGAAGAAAAATCCCACCTACATCCCACCAACCTACAGAAAGAACCACAAAAACCCACCCCCAAAATGCCAGAGAATCATAGAACGTCACCTTGAAAGGGACCTCAAGGATCATTTGGTCCAACCTCAAAAATAGGTGGACACATCCCTTGCCACTGAGAGCACATTAGAAACTGACCCAGAAGAATAGAAAAGAGAAGCTAGGAAGGGATCCTTTTTTATGCTTCTTAGCTGCCCAGCTTTGGAAACCTGGCTGGAAACTTTCCCACAGCCCAGCATTCCCACCCATCCACCCCCACCTTCTGACACACAGGTAGGGCTCTTTTTGGTAGGTAGAATTGCATTTAATTAAAAATATATGGCAATTATATAGTGTGCACAGCTTGGAGAGAGAGAGAGAGAGAGAGAGAGGGAGGGAGAAAATAAAGGAGAAGAAGAAAAGAAATGTCAATAAATTCATGTCAATAAAAACCTTTAACCCCTTTTGGAGCAGCTGCTTCCTAAGCTCCTGCCACTTATTTGAACTCCCACCTTCAAATCAGTAATACCAGGAAACGATTCAAGAAATAGTAGCAGGAAATGTTGACACCTGAAAAACTCTGCAAGTAAAACACTTTTACTTACATACATTTGCTTTTGCTTCTCCCTTCTTGCCTCCCCAGCTCTTGTGATCATTTGAAATTCATTTCCTTCATCTCTCAGCCAACATACCCAGAGCAGGATCATTCTGGGGGGTTGTTGGGTTTTTTTTTTGGAGAGGAAAACAAAAAAAACCAACCAACCCACATGATAAAATGAAAGTCTGGGCTTGTAAACAAACGTCATCATCATTTTTATGAGCCAACTTTCCTTTTGCTGCCTTTATCCTCTTCCCCCCTCCCCTTTTCCATCCTTTTGGGATGTCCCTTCCTGGTAAAAATTCAGCAGGAAAACTGTGGGTGATGTCAGGTTTGAAAACCACCCCTGTGCTTTCAGCTGATGGACTGGGAAAGCCTGGGAGACGGGAAAGGAAAGAAGAGGGAGAGAATTCCCTGGAAGATGAGTTGATGGGGGGGTTGGTTCCTGCCAGGAGGTGATTGGAAGGGGCTGGAAAGGTGGAAACCAGGAGGGAAGTTCTCTGGTGGAGCAACACCTGGGTGAGGTAGGTCCCTTGCTTTGCTTCTTGGTGGCTTTGGGAAAAAAAAACACCTCTTCCTGTTGAAAAGCAACGAGGAGAAAACTAAGGAAGGAGGAACCAAAAGGGAATAACAAGAGAAATAAACCAACACCACCCCCAAAATCCTCCCCCTTGGGAAAAAGGGGAAGGTGCCTTTTCTTTTTCGGAGGAAACGGAAAGAAAAAATACATATATATATTATTATTTATTATATAACATTGTCAACATCAACACCACAAAAAAAAAAAACCAAAACAACGACAAAAAAAAAAATAACCCCCCCCAAAAAAAAGGTAACATCCGAGTTGGTTTTGTTCAAACACTTGGCCCCATGTTGAGAGAGGCAGCAGGAGCTTCGTGTCCCTTTGGAGAACAAAAAGAGCAGGAGGGAGGGGGACAAGGGCTGGCGGTGGCAGCAACACAAACTGGGTGGGGAACTGTGATTATTGGTGTCGTTGTGGGTTTGGGTTTTGTTTTTTTTCCCTTCAAAACAAAAGAAAAAGCAAAGAAAAGGGTCGGGGTGGGCAAGTCTGATCCCTTCAGCTGTGGTTTCAACCAAGGTCCGTCCCCCTCGAGTGCTGTGGGTGAAGATCCAGTTCAAGGAGCCTCCCAAAATCCTTTTATCATCAACAGGGTCTTTTTTTTTTTTTTCCCCTCATCTCTTCCCTTCCCCTTTTTTTTCCCCCCATTTTTTTTTGGTTGATTTTCTCTTTTTTTTTTTTTTTATTTCTTCCTTTTTTTTTGTTTTGTTTCCCCCCTCCCACCCCTTCTTTCCCACTTCACCCCCAAAACTGGTGCTTCTTCCCCCCTCCCCCCCGTTAGCTGTTCTCACTCCACTCTGGCACCATCCCCACTCCGTGGACTGGGTGGTACTGGTGGGGTGAAAGGGTTCGAGGCACTCCGTGGGAATAGAGGAACTCTGCAGGCTGCAAGCTGCTGGGAGGGGACTGGATGCCAGTTTGAGGTCCACACTGCCTGACGATGGGTTGGTGAGAGACAGAGCTTTGGTGCTGGAACATGCTGTGGGTGTCTCCAAGCTGGGGGGAGGTGTGGTTGGCCACGCTGCTGAGCCGGGGCATGAGCGGCCCTGAGGTGAAGTGGGCTGAGAAGTGTTGGTAGGGTAACCTGTCCATGGGTTGCATGGCAGACACTGTGCAACTGCTGTAGGAGGGCACGTTGGGCCACGTGTTGCAGCTGATGTCTTCTAGGCTGGGCACGGGGTCCGTGGGGGGAGCGGAGCTGGCGTACATGCAGGCTTGGCGTTGGGCTGATTCAGTCCTGTATGAGGTGTTCAGTCCCTGCTGCTGGGGGTAACTGGGCCTGTAGAAAGGGTCCTCTTCTGCTGGAGAAGTTTCCATGTAGGGCTTCTTGTAAGGATGCTCGGTGGTGGAACATTCCTCGTCTGGTGGGAGAGAAACAACTTCTGGTAGTGAACAGCAGCCCTCGGGTGAACGTCCCACCCCCTCCACAAGCTGTTTTGACAAGGACACGGGGGCACAGAGCTGGTCCAGACCCTGTGCTGTGAGGGTGGTGAGAGCCTGGCCCAGGTTGCCCAGGGAAGCTGTGGCTGCCCCATCCCTGGCAGTGTTGAAGGGCAGGTTGGATGGGGCTTGGAGCAGCCTGGGCTGGTGGGAGGTGTCCCTGCCCATGCAGGGGGTTGGACTAGATCATCTTTATGGTCTCTTCCAACCCAAACCAGTCTGGAATTCTACGAAATCCACATCCCCTTCCTTGGAAACCATCTGAAGCCAACCTGCTGAAACCAAGTCTTGCACTTGTTCCTATCTGCTGGACTGGGGATTAGCTAAGAACTCCAGGAGAAAAAACAAAGCTGGAAGGTGCTGGAGACACCCTGAGGCTTAACTTGCTTGGTGATACCCCCCAAGTTACCCCCAATACCACCAAACCCCTCATCTCCTCTCTGCTGCCTGCACCTTGACCAGAGGAGCAACATCTTCCCACTGGATACACCTCACCAGGCTCCCCACTCCCAGCTGAGAACCTCAGAACTGTTCACTAAAAATCCTTTGCAATTCCATATTGTGGCAACAAAAGAGACACAACCAGAACTCACACCACAAATCCCCCCCCACCCAGGAGAGCATCAGAGATGACACAGCAGAGACAAACAGATCTGGAGCTTCCCAGCCTCCAACTTCAGCACATGAATCCACTCAGGGCTGCGTGTGCTGGAGCCAAGGGCAACAGGACCAAAAAGAAAAGCCAATTTCCCAGCTAGAAACAACAAGGAGCAGTTTGCAGAGCCCTTTGTTTCCTGCAAACAGCCCGGGCCAAGGGAGAGAAGGAGATAAACAATTTAGGTGAAATCTCCAGGGTGAGACAAAAAGAAGGCATGAATGCCCAGCTTCTTTCTTCAGTGCAGGGTCATCAAATGAAATCCAGCCCTGCTGGAATGGGTGGCAGAGTTCCCAGGGACAAGAACTTCACCAAGAGATTTTTAAGGACAACGAGGCAAGGGAAGGGGAGCTCATTTTGACCCAGATTAACTTTGCAGCTGCCTCAAGAAAAAGATCCCTGGTGCAGGCAGGAGAACATCCCACTTGGTTTGAAGCCCCTCTTGGCTGCAGCCCTTTCACCAGGGGTCAAATTTGAAAGGACACTGCAAGGAATTGGGCCTTTTCCCAATTTTTCCCAACCCACGTTGTTTCCAAGCTGTGATTTTTGTTTCACCCCCCCAAATACAAAGAGAGCAAATACATAATTTGACAAAGAAGAGGAATAAAAGCATCTGTGTGTGTCCCCCACCCCCCCCCAGGAAGCACCTGCAATGGGGACGGTCTCCAAGAGTGGCCTTGCCTCACTTCAGAAGGTGCAGAAGTGCAGTGAAGGACCTTTTGGTTCTTGTAAACACACACAGGCACGTATCCTCCTTGCTATAAACAGCCACGGGTTTTCTCCTGGCACCTGCACCCACTCTGCTTGTAAAATAACCTCTTCCTCCCACTCAGGTGTCTGCCAGCTCCAGCAAGAACCACTGCCAGTCATCTTGGGCCAACAAGCCCAGGAAACAGCAGGTACCCATCATGGGGACCTTCCCCTTAGTGTCTTCTGGCTTTGTAACAGCAGCTGGAGACCCCCAGTCTCATTCCACCCTTGTTGCCACCCAACAGCAAAGCCCAGCTCCTCAGCCCCAGCAGTGCAGAGCCCTGAGAACCAAGTTCTTCTCTTCCACCTCTGCCTGTTCTTAAGTAGGGACAGAAATTAGGATGGGATGAGCAAGTGGTGCAATCACAGCCTTGAAATGGCTGAACCAATAAGCAGGGAGATGCAGAAGTACATCAGTCCCCTTCATCCTCCTCAGGTTCACTTCACCCCCCTGGCAGTGTTGAAGGGCAGGTTGGAAGTGGCTTGGAGCAGCCTGGGCTGGTGGGAGGTGTCCCTGCCCATGCAGGGGGTTGGGACTAGATGATCTTGAAGGTTTTTTCCAACCCAAACCAGTCTGGGATTTGATGATTTTATAAGGAGCAGTGGAGAGGATGTAGCTCCCTGAAAGACAAAAGCTGGGAGCAAAGGTCTCAGCTCCCTCCTGAGCACGGGTCTATCACAGGAGAGACACATGGAAGAACAGCCTGAGTTGGTTGGTTTTTTTACAGCCAGCCCAAAAGTTTTGGATCCCTAACCCACCAGTGAGTAATCAGAACACTAGGGTGGAAAAACAATGTCTTGTAAAACCAAGCATTGTTCTGCTAATAAAGTTTTCAGCATTAAACTCTGCTGGCATCAGGACTCATTGGCTTGGGGTTTGACTGTTTATTTTAATGATATTTTCATTTATTTATTCTTTTTTATTTTTTCTAAATCTACCACACAAACCAGTCAAACTCTGCTTTTTTCCTTTGTGTCAAAACTCTCCTGACTTTACAGCTTGAGGTTGCTGCTTTTTTATTTTTCAGCCAGCCCAGACATTCTGCTGCCTTCTCCAGCCCAGCCAAGCAGAGCTGGGTCCCCATTTGCTTCCAGAACTCATCACAGGTGAAGAGAAGAACCAAAACCAACCAGAATCTCAGTGGAAAGCCTAGAAGTGCCCCTGTCTTCTTCTGTAAGTTCTCATCATCCTTCTACTGGTCTCTCCAGAGCCAAGCTCACTGGTGTCCTGTATGGAAAGGGCACCACCACTTCAGATTTCATGATGTATGGGGACACCACAGCCATCTCCAAAGAGGACCCAGTGGTTGGTGAAGGGTCCTAGCCTGTCCTAGCACTTCTGCCTGTCCTATGGCCCCTCTTCATGTTGCTTTTCCCATCTATGTAGCCTCAAAGGGCTGGAGAGTGAAGACAACAGTCCATCTTCATCATCAGATAGGATGATGCAGACCAGAGGTCCTCAGCTTGTGCCAGATGATGAATTTACACTGGTCCCTAATCTGATCTGGCCTTGTCCCACCACTTCTCACAGAGGAGACCAGAGCCAGCACAGAGCACGTGAAGTGTCTGTGGAGCAGATCTGGGGGTGGGAAGGGGACATCTTGGAATAAGAGGATGGCAAAAGGAGGAAGAGTCCAACAGAGCTCTCACTCAGAGCTGCAGTTTAGAGCCATCCCCACCTGCCCCAGAGCCAGCACAGTGTGTCCCAAGGCCATAATCCTCTTCCTGAAGGTCCTCTCACCTCCTCAGCATCAGAGTAAGCAGGACGTGGGTGACAACTGCCTGGTCTGCTCTGGATTTGTTTCTTGATGTTGGCTCTCTGGTAGCACTTAATCATCCTCATTCTATTGCTACTGAGCCCTGGGAGGTGCTGGGCACCTTTGGGGGGTGCTGACCTTCCTGGGAGATGCTGACCTTCCCTGGGGGATGCTGACCTTCCTGGGGGATGCTGACCTTCCCTGGGGGATGCTGACCTTCCTGGGGGATGCTGACCTTCCTCCACCTTTGTTGCTATTCTTGGAAGCCACAGGTGACCATCAGCTCTTGTGCCCAGCCCCTTTGGTACTGAGCAAACCTCAAACATTGAGCAAAAGGATCTGCCAAGCAGGAGAAGCTGCCAGAGCTTAGGAGAAGCTGCTCCAAAGTGAATCCAAGGAAAACGGAGCCTGCAGGATGGGGTGGGAACTGGCTCCCTCACAAGGAATTTGATGATCTATCTCATGAAGGAGCTCGAGCAAGAGCAGCAGCAGTTCCAAGATTTCCGGTATTTACTACATCCAGCTGGGTTGTAAATACCACACAAATGGCTTTTTAAATGGAATTTTCCCAATTCCAAGATTAGGGCCCTCCAGAATGAAATGCAAACATGTAAGATCTCTGAACTTCACCTCTTCCCCTGCTGGAAAGCTCCTTTCCAACTCCTGACAATCAGTTCCCTGGGACAGAAGACAATGAAGAAGGAGACCCGACTGGTTTTAAAGCTCACCCTCCATTCCAGGACATTTCAGTAGGTTCATCCTGACTTTGTGAGGGACACACAATGGGTGATTGTCACCCAGACTGTTGTTTCATCCAGTGTGGTGTCTAGGATGGATCTAGCACCAGCCTGAATGGCCACCACCAGTGCACAAGGCTGACACAGGGGCTGGCCAAGAAGGAAAAAGATGGATTCAGCCAAAATGAACATCCCTCAAGGGCAAAGAAGACCTCTATCCTGAGACACGGCACCCAAGACACGCTGGGTATTTCAGCAATCCCATGGTTTGCAGTAGATTTGTGCTGCATTGCAGGAGAAGGTGCCTTGTGGGGCAGAGAGAACCCAACAGCAAGAGCTGGAACCTCTTCCAGAGGCAGGGAGGTGCCAGCACTGCCTGCAGAGGCCCAGGAGGCTCCTGGGGGGAGAGGGAGATGCTCACATGAAGCTGCTGAAGCTACAAGGACCATGGCTGCCCAGCAAAAGCTGGGTGCACACCACCCCACTAAATATCTCCCCACCATGAACACAGGTTCTCCTTCACCCAGCAGCCACCTTAGAGTGGGCTCCACTGCATCTACCCAAGCTGCAAACACCTCTGGCTGCTCAAGGCTTGGCTAACTCACTGCATCTCCTAACCTCAGCAGGATGAGCAGCATGGCCTCCAAGAAGACATCCCATACTGGACTTTTCTTCTTGAGGGAAAGAAAAAACTGGGTGGAATAAGGGAGAAATCAGTGAAAAGGTCCATCCACATCCTTGTGGAGAAGGGGGAAGGCACTGCTGTGTCTCCACCCACCTCAACAGAGCAGGAAGGAGATGAAGGACACATTCTTCTCCGTGAGCAAGGTCATGTCCAAGCTGAAGGACAAGCTCTAGTCAGAGCCAGTGGATTCTGCCACATCCCTCTTGGTCCTCAGAGTGCCAAGATGACAACTTGTGTAACCTCCCCAGGGAGAGAGGCTGTTCCAGTTGCCTCCTGTTCAGCATCACAAGCATCCCAACCATCTGCCAAGTGGTTGAGATTGTGTAAGGGCTGGGAGGGAGCAGAGGTTCAGTGAGATGGCTTTTCAGTTCCCAGGAAGTCTGAGGGAGAGGATAACACCAGGGAAAACAAGCCCCAGTGCCCTAACTGGGACTTGGGGCTAAAATGAAAGCCAGAAAGCAAGTTGCCTGCTGGGAAAGCCCTCTTGGGCTTCTCCAAACACAACAATGAGAGAGGGAGAGGTGGAAAACAACCAGAAAAAAAAGGCAATGTTCTAACTGGTATTTGTTGCAACCTAAAAATCCACCTGAAGAACTGAAGCTCCTCGTTGGTAGGAGACAGGATGGGAGTGAATCTATCCTCTCAAGGTCAGGCTCTTTGGTAGAGGCCACCAGCAACCTCAGTGTGGAGCTGGAGTTCAAGGCAGGATGATTCTCACCTTGAGGATTGTTGCTCCCCAGCCTTCAGCATGTGCAGAAGGTGCTGGGAGTAGCAGCCCCACTGCACCACCCTGGGGTCATTCCCCACGGTGCCACCCCACACTCCCACCCACACACCAGGAACTGTCAGATTTGGAGCTCTGGGATGTGTCCTCCCCTCATCCAGAAGAAGATCAGCTCCCTGGAAGAGAGGAGCCTTCAGAGATAAGATCCCCTCACAGCCCCACTGCTCTCCCCTAATGTAGCTCCATATCAGATCTCCAGGGTGAATCCATCTTGACCTGCCAGCTAAGAACAACACTGCCAACCACTGAGCCAAAGCTTTGCCTGAGGTCACCAAGGAAGGAGAAGTTGACCACGGTGCCTTCACGTTGCTCCAACCCAGACCCATTCACAACCCAGCTTAAACCAAGACTTGACCTCCTGATTAAACAGAGACATCAGGAGATGTCAAAGCTGGAAGGAGCCATATCTGAGAGGTTATCCTGGAAAGCAGGGGTGACATTTGCTGCAGAAGATACAGCCACCAGCTGGTCTCAAAACCCAGTTGAATTGCCCTCTGCCCCTGCCAGCACTTATCCAGCTTTTTTGGGGAAGGAAATAATCAGCTGGAGATAAATCCTAAACTGGCTGAGGATGAGTCAATGTTTGGGCAGATGATGGTCCAACAAAATCCAGAACCCTTCCAGCCCAGGGAGCAGACAGAGATGCTGCAGGAGTGACCACACTCTCCTTCTTTGGAGATGCTAAGGCTTGGCCAGAGTCCTGCAGGAAAGCAGGAGAGCAAGGGAGGAAAGCTTAATGTTTCACTTAGAAATGAGAGGCTGGGAAAGGAGGGAAAAAGAGGAGCATCACAGGTCAGGTGGTTTTCCTAAGTTTAAGGAAGATCCTCGTTAGAAGAAAGTGCCACATTCAGTCTGAGAGGAAACCTTGGGTCACATTCTGATGGAGCTGAACAGAACTGTTCAGCTCTAGTGACTTCATCTTTCACTTTTTCTCCTTTTTTTCCCCCCCCTTTTTTTAAAATCCATTTCACTTTGCAAAGAGCTCCTTGGCAGCTGCTCTTGGCTCTCTGGTTCCCATTAACTTGGTGTTTCTTTTCTTGAAGCCCTGGTGGCTGTTTTCGATTTACTGGAGGCGTGGGGAGGGGTTTGGGGAGGGGGGGTTGGTGTGGAAAAGGCACAGGGAGGAAAAGCAAGAAGCTCAAGCTCCTGAGACCTCCAGCTCCAGGGAAGAAGGTGGTGGTATCAGGCAGGACATTGTTTCTCTTTGATGAAAGGTTTGGCGGCTTTGATAAAAGGCCCTTAACTGCTTGTGCCACTCAAGGCATTGAGGAGATAATGAGGGGCCATCAGCCCCACAGACAAGGACTGGCTTGATCTGTCCCCTGCGAGGGCCAAGAAGGCCAAAAAGGGGCTGGGGAGCTTATTCCAGAGCAGATAGTCGTCTCTTTTGTGACAATAAGAGGAAGTGAGATAATTGGGGGCTTGAGGGAAACCACCCATGGAGACACCACTTAGCGGGCATCCCAAAACTGGAAGGAAACCTCTGTTGATTCCTTATCACCTTTCCCAAGGGGGAAGAGAATGATGAATTGCCCTGGGGTGGGGAGGGGGTGGGGGAATGTGCTTAGGCCAAAGGGGTTGGTTGCTTTTTTGGGCCAGCTTGGTTTGGGTTAGTTTTTGCCAAGGGGAAGAGGAGTGGTGACAGCTCAGCTCCCAGGGCAGAGGAGCACCCAGGAGGGATCACAGGCTGAGGGACACAAGAGCAAATGAGACCTTTCCAGTGCCAAAAGTGGGGGTTTTGCAGCAGCCCAGATGTGACCCAAAGCCCCAAGTCCAGCACAGGGTTAAGCAAGGGCCACACAACCCATCTCTGACCTTAAGGGACACTCCAGGAGGCCTCTGCAGCTCCTTATTCCCCACCTTACAGCTCCAGTCTAGCAGCACCATCCCAAATCACAGCTTCGATTGACTCTGATAGCACGAGGGTCTCCTGGTCAGCTGGAAGGGGCAGAAAATGATGCCCCTGATCTCCCTTGTCTGGCTTCATCTCACACCAGGAAAATGGAAGATCCATCAACACGTTTCATTTTGCTTATCTACCTGTACCTCACACACCTGCTCTTACAACATCCAAGGGCTTCACCAAGGATGGGAGAGATCATTTCCAGCTGTCCTCCTGCCCCATCTGCCAGCCCTTCCCAGCAGCTGCTCCCTGAGACCTTGTGTCTACACTGCACATCCCAGTGCCCTGGGGTTATGTTACTAAAAATAAGGACCATGCAGGGAAGCAGGAAGGGATCTGCTGTGGGGACAGCAGGCTGGAGGAATTATTGGTACATTCAGATGTCACGTCACGTGCTGGTTCCTGGTACATTTCCTGGGCAATGAAGAACAAATCCTGAGGAAGGGGGGCAGGGACAGGCAGTAACCACCTCCTGCTCACCCCTTGGGGTTGCATTCAGCCCTGGAAATTCCCTGTTTTCTTCTGAGTGTCTGGAATGGAGCTGATCTGAGGTTTTCCCTCCGTGAGTCCTGCAAGTGTTCCTGCACCTCGGC